CTCCACAGGGAGCTCAGCTGCGTGGACGTGTGTACTTCCTGCACCAAGTCTCAGCCCTGCCCTGCCCCCTCACCACACAGTCCTCCTGTTCACTGGGCATTTCTCTCAGTACTTCCTGCTCAGCTGAGTCAGAGACAGGGTGCCACGACAGTGCTTGGGTCCCCAAAATACAAGTCCAACCACGCAGCACCTCTGCAATAGTGGGGAGAACCTGGGATCCGATGTCTGGTTTTGAGTCAGGAGGAAGACCTTGATTTCCCGTATCAGGCAATGTCATCACCACAACACAGAGGCCCTTCTGGTATCCTTGGAGGTCTTCCCTGGCAGGTGGAAACCCAACAAATGCAAAATGTTGGGCCAGCCCTGGAAGGCAGAGTCTGTGGCCAAGCAGGAGGTTAGGAGTGGGTGTTGGCCCCACCTGCTTTGTGGGCCTTCACAATTCAGGAGCAGCCTCTTTGTGTCTTCCGTCTTCCAGTCAAGCTGACAGTAGCAGAAGCAGCCAGGCTTTGTTACGGAAAAGAAACACCCAGAAAACCCACTGCCGTCAAGTTGACTGCAACTCACGGCACCCACCTGTGCCAATGAGTGGAACTGCTCTGGAGGGTTTCCACGAGCAGCACAGATGGTTAAGCACTTGACTACGAGCCAAGAGGTTGGCAGTTCAAACCTCCCACAGGCTCCTTCAAAGGCAGGTCTGGTGAGCTGCTTTCAAAGGGCCATGGCCTTGAAAACCCTGTGGAGTGGGTCTGCTCTGCAGCCCGGGGTCATCAAGAGCCAGACTCAGCTCGACGGCAGCACCACCACCACCACCGATCTTTACAGATGGAGATCACCGGGCCTTCCTTCTGCTGTGCTCTGGGGCAGCAGCAAACCACCAACCTGAAGGGTAGCAGCTAACTGTAAACCGCTGGTCCCACCCAAGGACCTTTTTGTAAGAAAGGTTATCTGTGTGGAATAGGAAGCTTTGGTAGAAACTTTGTCTTGGTCCCCTAGTGCTGCTGTGACAAATACCACAGTGGGTGGCTTTAACAAACACATTTATTGTCGTATGGTTAGGGGGATGGAAGTCCAAATTCAGGGCACCAGCTCTCAGAAGCCTCTCTCTGTCAGCTCCAAGGAAGGCCCTCGTCTCTCTCTATAAACTTCTGCTCCTGGGGGATCTTCCTGGGGGGTGGCATCTCTCTCCCTCTGTATCTGCTTCTCAGGTGGCTTGTTTAACCTCTTTTATATCTCACAAGAGACTGACTCACGACATGCCCACACTGCTCCTGCCTCATTAACATGACAAAGAACCATTCCCACATGGGATTATGACCACAGGCACAGATACTAGGAATTATAACATGTATTTGGGGGACATAGTTCAATCCAGTGACCCCTCGGGAGGTGCTGCCAAGGTCACTCTCTCACTTAAACCTCGTTTTCTCTGTTGAGAACAGATCGCCCCGGCCTCTTAAACGTAGAGCACATTGAGAAAATGCAGGAGGGCATTGTGCACGTGCTCAGACTCCACTTGCAAAGCAACCACCCGGACGACAACTTCCTCTTCCCAAAACTGCTCCAAAAGATGGCAGACCTGCGGCAGCTCGTCACGGAGCACGCGCAGCTTGTGCAGATCATCAAAAGGACGGAATCGGACGCGGCCCTGCACCCGCTGCTGCAGGAGATCTACAGGGACATGTACTGAGCATCTGCAGATACCCAAGCAACACGGACTTTTCAGGGCTAACTGATGTCAACAGCACTATGAACGGGAAATTGGAGCCACGCGACTTTGCACAGACACCCGCCACTTTTGCCTTAGAGATGGAAGGCATCCGCCCTCAGTAATCAGAGTACTGTTCCACACTTTGTTCTTGTTTTAACCAGTCCACCCAAGAGCGTGCAAAGCACTCAGATGCTGGTGATCAACAGCTAACAGTCAGGACTTGGAAAATTAAGAACAGTGTCCGGTGGTCTGATCACACATCCAACGTTCACCTGTGCAGGTCTCTTCCCATACCACTAGTAATTTACTGTTAATTTGTTGGTCACCTCAGAATGCGTGGTCTGCCTTCCCTTTCAAACCCCCTTCTGACTGTGCTTCTTTGTAATTTTGGAAACTAATCGGCACTTTCTAACTACTTTTATAATCTTATCTAGATGTGTCCAAAGGCTGGGTACTCCAAAGACAGCAGGATATTTATTTGGAAGACTTTCAATTCTGTTTTCTGACCTGCTGTTTTTTAATCATAGGATTTAGAATTTTACAGAATTACTTAATAAGCTATGAAAATGCAGCAGTGTTTTCATTTTCCGTCCACTCTGTTCATGGTGGAGGAGATCAGGTGGCACAGTGGTTAAGTGCTCAGCTGCGAACAGAAAGGTCAGCAGTTTGAGCTCACCAGCTGCTGTGCAGAAGAAAGATGTGGCAATTGGCTTCCATAAAGATGGCCTTGGAAACCCTATGTGGAAGTTCTACTCTGTCCTGGTGGGTCACTGTGAGTTAAAGTTAACTCCACAGCAGTGGGTTTGGTTGTTTTTTTGGTTTGTGTTCATGATGGTAATGGATACTTCCAGATTTGTGTAGAAGATTCCAGAATGCTAACTCAAGACTCCCCCCTGGACTTGATGGACACCTGTCTGAAGCAAGTGTCTCTGATAAGGAGGAAAAACTTGGAAAGTATGTCAGCGCCCCACTCCTCTCCTCTCTGTTTCCTACCAAATCTGAACAAATCAACTGGCTGTTTGTGAGCACCATAGTGTTTCGTGGGCAAACCAACAAATTATTTTCAAATGTGTCAAGGCAGCTTCTTTAGTCTTTTCCTACTTTGTTCTTTCTGAGTTCCTGATGGTGGGAGATGGTCCAGGAATGGAGACCATGAGGTAACGAATACTACCCAGTGTGGGCACAGGAGGGTGGGACGCCAGTCTAGAGCCCAGAGGGGCGAGGACGGCATCCTTCAGACCCAAAGCAGAGAGGTGAGGTTTTGTCTCCAGTTTCAAGACAGCCTAGTTATTTTCACAAAGATCTAGACCATCAGAGCTCCCTTCCAGATAACACTGAAGGCAGTTTTTCCAGCATCTAAGATACTTGTTTGAGCCTTAATGATCAACTTCTAAACCTCAGTGCAGTTGAAAGCATGGTGGGGTGCTGGGGAGCTGTCCGGAAACGACGGACCGAGACACTGGGGGTGTCCACATCCGCCCACCACCGTGGGTAGCAGTGCCTCCTGGGCCTCCCCAGCAGCAACACCTCCAGGCCCGACTGGGCGAGCTGCCACGCTGCCTCCTCGCGGCCCCCGGGCACCTCACCGACTCACGCCCTCAGGACCCAGGAGTGCCCCGGCGCCCCTACCCCTCCAGCCTTAGAATCATTATTTGCTGTTGAAGAATGACTGGGATCAATCAAGTCCCCAAGACCTTCGTTCTGAACAGGTGACAGAACAAAGGACAATAAAACCATGAGACTTCAACCAGAAAAAAGGGAGCGCTGGCCATTAGGACAGCCTTTAAAAGTGACACATGTTGCAGGTTTGGTGGGTTTGTGTGTGTGTTTTTAAGATCCAGTCCAGAAGAAGGGCAGTTTGCACATCAGGTACTGGGAGTTGGGAGTGAGTACTCCTTCCATATAAGAAGTGACTCTAGAGGCCACCCTTACCCAAGAGAGACCCTAGCCTGTGTCACAGTCACCATGACTTCAAACCAGATGCTCTTTCCTGAAGTGGGGACACACGGTGCTATGGAGACTTGGGGTGCTTTTGTGGCCCATGTCACAGGGTCAGAGCCTGGATTGGGACACCGAGTCTGCATTCCCTCCACTGTCCAAGGTAGCCTCTCGCCCCGACATGCCCTGGATGGACATCATCCAGACAGACGTGGCCAGGACCGTGGGCCTTGAAACCCAGTCTTCCAGAAAAGTCATTTGTCCGCTGAATGACATGCAATTTAAATACTCATGAAACCTGCTTTGCATAGCTCCTGAGTCCGGGCTTCCAGTGAAGACCACAGATGTAGGCTGTGCATGTGTCCATACCATGGTCAGCAGTGTCGGGGACCCACCGGTCCCCCAGGCCTGGTCAGGCCACCGCAATGTCCCTGAGGAAGCCAACAAGGAGAGAAACCCAAGTGACCTCTGCATCAACGTCACCTGGCACCATCCCCTTGAATCAGCAGGAAGTAAAATCACATTCCCATTCGTTTTACGTCACTAATCACCACTTGATGAATCGTAGAATGTCTGCATCACCCAGAAAGAGAAGGCCAGTAATTCACTCATTCACGATGCTGTCCGGCTCCAAGAACACAGCAAACCCACCGCCGCCGGGTCGGCCAGGGCTCCCCTTTGCTGGTTGTCCGGCTCAGGGTACTTCAGACCACACAGGCAAGACGTCCTCTTGGGGTGGGCGGGCAGCTGGCTGTGACCCTTCTCCTTTCTCAGCACCCTGACCCATTCCTCAACAAGGCATTGTATGAATGTCATTTTCTCAAACGTTTATGGCAGGAAGTACCAGACGCTTCAGAAACATGAAATTACTGAGCAGCCTTTGTCCTGCATGCTGTCTGGAAGGAAGGGACAACAGGGGCTTCCCCGGTGCTCAGGGTGGGGTAGGCACCTGACCTCCTACTGCAGGTCCCCCCTCTTCCTGCCTCCTGGGCACGTGCAAGTGGGTGGGTGGGTGCACCACCTGCAGAAGTCAGCACCCCCACCCTGCCAGCGTCCGAGCGCTGCCAGCACAGGTGGAGTGGAGGGTGACTGTCCCTGCGAAGGGCAACGCTGTCAAAGCCTGCGTCATGAGAGTGCCCGTTAGAGCACTGGCCGGCTGCCCTTCCTTTCGTACTCCTGGATTTCTCCACCTTTTTCCAACTGTGGTGCCTCGAAAGCTCAAGCTCATCTATGTACGTACGCCTGTCATTACAATGAAGTGGAACAAGACTCCTGGTGCCCAGTGCAGTGGGGAATGCTGAGAGCACAGTCCCCATCTTAAAGGAACCTTTGTTTTCCTTTAAGAGCAGAGAGCCACTTGCCTGCCATCCTTGCACCTGCCACCCTGGGCCTTTTGAGAACCAGGGAACTAAGCTACCTGGCGGGTTGGGTGTGGCTCTGGGGATGCACACAGCCTCGAAGAGCCGTTTGCAGTGGAGGCTGAAGGCATGAGTCCGGTCGACTGCTTGGTGACAAGTGAACTGTCACCGAGCCCCTGCTTTTGTCACAGACGTGTGGCCTGACAGCTCCATCCGTAGACACAGCCACTCACCAGGGGGGCAAACGAGCACACACTGCTTATGGCTATACTCGAGAAGCGGAAGTGGGGCTTCCAGGACTTCTAAGTGCTTGGCTGCTGAATGAAAGGTCGGCAGTTCGAACCCACCAGCAGCCCTGTGGGAGCGAAGGCCCGTGATCTGCTCCTGTAAAGATTCACAGCCTTGGAAACTCTACAGAGCAGTTCTTCTCTGTCCTATAAGGTTGCTACGGCTTGGCATCGACTCTACAGCAGCGGGTTTTAGTTTTCGGTTAAGACTTTTAAAAGGAGCCCTGATGGTGCAGTGCCTGAGCCCTCGGCTGTTAACGGAAAGGTCGGCAGTTTGAACCCACCAGCTGCTCTGCCAGAGGAAAAAGGCTGGCATTCTGCTCCTGTAAGGACTGTCAGCCTGGCAAATCCTGTGGGCTCAGTTCTACTCTGCCCTGTTGCCGTGAGTCAGAATCAGCCTGGCAACAAGGTTAGGGTTTTGAACCCACCCAGCGAGTCCACCACTTTGGGCTGCAGCCAGCCTGGCCCTCGGGCCTCCACCTTTTTGGGTCTAACAGCTTTTCAGCCCGTGTGAACTTTGGAAATGCAGACCCCAGACCCCACCAGCAGACAGGCCAAGTCTCCACCAGCTCAGCATAGCCCCATAATGCAGCTTCCAGGACAGGGGCGGAGTCTCCCGTCTCCTCGGCCCACAGCCCCATGGGGGTCAGATTCCCCCCACGCAAGGGGCCATCCCCCTTTAAAGGGGAGACACCCAGCTTCAGAGTTAGTGACCAGCTTGGTGTGCAGGGCTCTGGAGGCCGTGGGGCACACTGTCCCCCGTTCTCACATTCATACCTCGGGGTAAGCGTGCCACCCCGCTCCTGCCGGGAGCAGGGCACACGAGGAACCACAGGCTGGCCCGTCCTCTGCAGTTAGCACTCTGCCTGATGTGGGTTCCTTGGGGGTGGGAGGCACTGTTTAAAAGACTTTCTCTTGGTGTCCAGACCAGCAGTGTAATTCAGGTGAAGCCAAGAGATTATATTGTCCATGGACCCCACAGATCAAGATGGCTGCCACCCACGGAAGGCACGCTGACACTGACGCGCCCACAGATTTCCCACGGGGCCCGCCTCACGGCCTTGGCTGCAGGGCGCTGCAAAGCGCCACGGCCCGAATGTGTGTGCTTACTCTTTCCATTCGACAGGCGGCCCGGCCTTGAACTCCTGGACATGCTCATTGGTATACGCCACTGCAATTAATCATTCTTGTTTTCAATGGCAGCGACTCTGTCTTCCGGACTAAAGTGACGGCAAGGACCCAAGTTGTCAGAGCTTTCAGACAACACAGCTGGAGTGAGAGGCAGCAGAAGGGCCCCCGAGGGCAGCTCGGCTGCTGGGGAGCTCCGAGGAGCTGCAGGGAGAACGCACCCATCTGCCCGGAACTGTGCTGACGGTGCCCGTGACCACTGCATTCTATGCCGTTAAACACCCAAGTGCCTTTCCTCTTCCTTACTCCGTGGCCTTCACCCAGGCCATAGACTTCAGTGAAGTATGTGCAGGGAGTTCTCCACTTTGGCTCCAAAGGTCAAGGTCTGGGTTTCTCCTGGGATGGGTGCACGTTTCCAGACACATCCGCCTGCACTCGGATCAGAAACAGAGCACCTGAAATCCAGCGCGTTTCTGTGGAAACCACAAGAGAAACTAAAGTGCCCTTGGACGTGTTAAGAAAGCAAGGCTTTCTGAGTCGGTCTGGGTAATTGCACAGTGCTTGCCATCATCCGTTGCTGTGGGATGCAGCAGCTGTCCCTGCTGTCTGTCAGTGGCGTGGGATGAGGCGTGCCAGAAACGGGCCATTCGTGCGGCCCTGCAGATTCAGAACAGGGCTGCTCTGGGCCCGTCGGGAGCCACTGAGGTGGAGCAAGGCTGCCAGCCCACCGTGTGCCTCTCAGAGTTGCAATCAGAGGCACAAGAAATACAATCCGTTACTGTCTTCCCTGCAAAAGAACGTTTGTGTGTGTGAGGGAAGAGGGGCTGTATGATGTGGTCCTTTGCCATATTAACACAAAAGCCAAATCCACGGCCATCGAGTTGATTGCGTCATAGCGACCCTTTAGGACGGCGCAGAACTGCCTTCTAAGATCCCCAAGGCTGCAAATCTTGACGGAAGCAGGCCGCCTCGTCTCTCTCCCACAGGGCAGCTGGTGGGCTCCAAGCGCCAACCTGCGGCTTAACAGCCGCATGCCTTAACCACTTTGCCAAATAGAATAGACCAATACCTCCCATGTTCAATGCCAGGTCTTGGTTGAAGCATCTGATAACATCAAGCAGTGGCCCATAGCTGTTAAAAGTATTATTTGCAAAAAAAAAGAAACACTGGTTTTTACATCAGAGAGAGCAAATTACAGCCTGGGTCAGCTGCTGCTTTAAAAACATGTTTGCTAGCCTAAGTCAAATGTGAAGAACTTCCATGTTTTTCTGCAGAGAAGGGAATTCACCAGCCTCTTCCTGTCTTGCCCCTCTTTCCTCCAGCCAGCATCTAGAATTTGTTACACAGTTGACCAACATGGCGTCACCCAGCCAGCCCCAGACCAGCCCCCGCACCACGGGTCTGCCTCCTTGGGAAAGGAGGGCGCACAGCTAAGGCACAGGGGCATCCAACCACTTTTTGAAAATGCCTGTTCAGACAGTTTTCCCTTCAGACCTAAAAAAAAAAAGTGCCTCAGAAAAGATGAACCCCGCTAATACTGCTCTGGAGACAGCCATATTCGTGTTGTGGATCACCGTTTCTTCTGTTTGAAAGAACTATGTTAACAGCTGCGTCTTAAACACCATGATTCTTTGAACACCATCCTGGTATGTTTCACAATCACACACCTACGACAGCCATTTGGATTCTTTTGAAATCAGCGTTGATGGTCTCTTCTTACAACACTAAAGCAGCAGAAATAGAAGCCCCCGCACACACCCATCGCAGCAGCTTCTCCTGAGCCATATGGAATTGGTGCTTGCTCTGTAAACCTGACCCCTTGCCATACTTTGTAAAGTGCCAGCGATTGTAATCTGTGTTCGTTCCCCCAGCACACCTCACAGACGCCAGGTGTGAGAGAGATCACGATGTTGTACCACAGTGTTTCAACAGACCGCTGGCCACTCCTGTTTAACTGAGGGCTGGCTCTTCTGGGGGTCACTGCCTGTGGGTCATTACTGCGCTCTGGCAGTGAGGCGGCCTGCTGGGTGCCACCCGCACCACGGGCTCTCCGCTGGCGTCCACGGCCCGCCCGCACCGCCGGCTCTCCGCTGGTGTCGTCAGGGTGCCACCCGCACCGCCGGCTCTCCGCTGGTGTCGACAGCCCGCCCGAGGCACAGGGCGGAAAGCACACGCCTGTGTGTGGAATATCACGGCACAGCTGCTTCATGGGGTGCCTTTGCAGCGCCCTCTGAATCCACACTGCCAGCCTGCGAGAGCCCCACGGTAAGCGGGCCTGCAGGGACCCAGGGAGGAAGGGCACACGTCTCTGGAGCGAGGACCGAGCTGCTTTCTTGACCCGTGTTGTCGGTGCTGTTCGTGGGAGCCTTAAGCTCTCACTAAAGCACTTAGCCACTTGCAGACCATGCTTCTTCCTGCCAGGTGGGGGCCTGTTGCCCAGGCTGTGGCGTCCTCTCCCCACGCAGACTCTGGCTGTGGGGAGGTGTCCAGGGCTCAGGAGGCAGGTGTGCACAGAAGGCAAGGCAGTTGCTCTAGTCAACTTAACTGACAGGCGGTTCCAGGCCACTGGGAAATCACAGCGACACACTATCACTTTAATTCCTTTTAGATCTCGCTCTTACTCATTTTCTCGTTAAGGGACTGCGCTGATCTTAGTATTGATCTACAACCTGAATTTACGGGAACTTCTGTTTCTGGAATGTCTTATTGTCAGACTGATGAATGTGAAGAGTTAATTTCAGGGTACAGTTTTGCCTTAATGGTTTTAAAGAATAAACTATTTAAAAAAATTATTTGGTGAGTTTTGACTGATGCTGTACTGAATGAACTGTTCAGAAAAACCGAATCCCCTGGTGTGCACTCCGCTGCCCTCGAAGAGCCCACCTCAGCGGCCCTTGTCTGGACACAGATCCCCTTTTTGTCCTCTAGTGTCAGATAAGACCCAGGAGGCCAGAGCCCCAGCTGAGCCACGGATCCAGAAGCAGGAAACAGGAACCTGAAAGCATGAGCGCTTTAAAACAAACGCCAGCCCCTCAATTAAAGCTTTCCTTCTTTTGCTAACCCCATTTCCGACATGTTCTGGTTCCCTAGTGCTGCTCTGACAAGAACACACACACAAATGGCATGGCTTGAACAAACAAGAGTTTATTCTCTTACAGTTCGGGAGGCTAGAAGTCTGAGTTCAAAGGGCCAGGCTCTAGAGGCTGTGTGAAGCTCCACTGACCTTGGGCTTCAGCTCTGCCTCTTGTTCCCGGCCCACAAAAACCAGAGGCATCTCTTCACTCAGGCAGCTACTGGCTGCTGACGCTGACAAGTCCAAGGCTGACAACTAAAATGGCAGAGTTCCGATGTTACTAAACCACACAGCAGGCCATTAATTCAAGACCACTGAAAAGTCTCAAGGTCAGCAGAGCATGGCAGACTACTGAACAATGACATGGCCACGTGCAGGGTGCAAGCGTGCCATAAGCTAGAGACCATTCCCCAAGCTGTTTCTTATATACAGGAAACAGACCACATGCCCAAAGGCAGCTACTGAAATGCAGAACACTGAGTGGTTCTTCATTTTTCATTCATAACTATACCACACACTCAGGGCTCAGAGCATTTTCCAAGCACTTCACCACAACAGGAAGTAAAGCTACCTGTCAAGCCCTCCCAGTCCCACTCGGGAAGTGGCTGCTGTTTGATTTTCCTTGAAGCCTCACAGGATGGAGCGTGTCCTGGGCTTCTGGCACGGCCCAGGCACCTCTCCCCAGCGGCACCCGGGCTTCCTCTTGGTGAACTGCCCAGCACCTTGCTCACCTCAGCTGCCTCCTGGGCACACTCCTCCCCAGCACGGCCACTCGAGGTCTCCCACACCAGACTGTGACCAGAGGCCTCTGTCTCCCCATGGCTGTCCTCCAGGCAGCTCGGCAAGGGCAGAAGAGGGTACCTCATATCTGACGAGGCTGCAAGGGGCCTTCAGGCCCATGCGTGTCAGCAGATGAGCCGGCAGACCTGGAACTCAGCCCCAGGTGGAAGGGCAGGGCCAGCAGGCTGGCGGGCTTCCCTTTCTGGGCAGCTGCTGCTCCACTGTCTCCGAGCCAGAGGCCCAACTACACCGGTGCCCCAGGACCTTGGAACTGGAGGAGTTAGGCCTCGTGGACCAGACTGGTGAGGTGTTAGGCCCAACTACACCGGTGCCCCGGGACCTTGGAACTGGAGGAGTTAGGCCTTGTGGACCAGACTGGTGAGGTGTTAGGCCCAGCTACACCAATGCCCCGCGACCTTGGAACTGGAGGAGTTAGGCCTTGTGGACCGGACTGGTGAGGTGTTAGTCCATCTGCCATTGCTACTGCAGGCCAGCCTCCCCGGCTCCCCCAAGCTGCACGCAGACACAGCCCAGAAAGTGACAGGCACTGTGGCCTCCAGTTCAGGGGTGGCCTGGCCTGGGCTGTGGACACCCAGCCGGCCCAGCAGCTCCACACAGGGCTCACCCAGCCCTCAGGTCCGAGAACCGGGCTCGCCGCAGGGCGTCTTGGCCAAAGCTTTCCTCTTCTCCACATCTTGCCGGATCTCCTGTGGGAAAGCGTTCATGTTCTCGCGGACACAAGGGAGGCAGAATCTCTTGGAGTAGAATAAGCTGCAATCCTGACGAGGAAGGGGGGAGGAACAGGCTGAGTACCCGGGACCGGGAGCAGCTTCCCCCAGAGGCCAGGGCCCCAGACACACAGAAACGGGGGCGGTGGCCAGAGCTGGAACAGCAGACACGAGACCAGGGCCCCTGGGGCGCAGTCACCTGGAGGGGCTTCATCCTTGTCCGTGAGAAAAGGAAGTGGCTGAAGAACCGCCAGGGGGGCTGGGGCAGGGGTGCTGAGAGAGACCCGAACTGACAAGGCCCAGCCAAGGTCACGGCCGAGCAGGTGTGAGCAGGGCTGATGGGAGCGTGCAGCGGGACAGGCCCATGTGCCTGTCTGGGGCTCCACTAAGGAGACAGGAGCAGAAGGCCGCTCGGAAGAGGGTATGAGGCTCGGCTGGGCCTGGGGACGCCCAGGTAGAGAAGGTGCGTGCCTGCTGGCAGTAAGCGGGCTCTCAAAGTGTCAGGACTCCAGCAGGCAGAGGGACAGTGCGTGAAGGGCCAAGTTCACAGGGAGGCTGCACTCAGCTGAAAAGGCACTATGTCCCAGGATGCCCCAGTGAACACGGCCAGGAAGCTGCCACCTGCTGCCAGGAGGCTGAGATGGATAAAGGTCACCAGGAGTGTGGCTATCCTCAAGGGGCTGAGGGTCCCATCCCAAAGACAAGAGTCAGAAGCTTCAAGTCCCTGCCTCTTCTGATGACCATGGCAGGGTCCATGGGGACAGCCCCGTGGCCCACAGGCTGCCACAGGTCAGTGGACATGTCCAACAGTGTCCTTTAATACCAGGCTCCTGAGCCTGACTCGGCACACAGCCCCTCTGGACCATGTTCCCTGGACTCCTTGGCACCTGCGCACGGCCCTATGACTGCATCCTGTCACTGGAAGCTGGGCCCCTCGCTTCCCAGACATCCCTTCAAAGGAATGAGCAGCTAGCTGGGAGTCGGGCTGAAGGTGGGGGATGGGAGCAGAGTGGACCCAAAAGGGACGGTCCCCCAGCTCTGGACTGCCTGCTCCTGGACTCTTCTCCAGAGAAAAAGTAAGTAAACGCATCTCTCTCTTACCGAGCCCACAGTGTTTAGGGGTCTCTTTGTTACAGCAGCTTAGACTATACCTCAGCTGACGCAAGGCCACACCTCCTGTGGTACTTAGAAGGAACTGTCCACGGAGACGGACTGGGTAGCAACCAAGCACCTCATCACAGGAAGGTGGAGGCTTCTGGGTGCTGCGTGGGCACCTCCCATCTCCAAGGGTGGCACAGCGAGCTCTGTGCTGCCCCTGCCCTCCCAGTCCTCCTTTTCCAGAACCTTCTCTCAGGTCCCAGGCACTCCATAGGCCTCAGGCACTCGCAATGTGGCCCCTGCCCACACTGTGGCTTCCCACCCAGCCCCAGCCTGACCTTTGAGGGTAGAGTCTGGCTTTGAAACATGGTCTGTGACTCAGCACCCCTTGTTGGCCCTGTATGCCAGGGCCGAGTACTACGGGGCTCCTCACCCCCATATCACTTGTGTCCACTGGCACACCCCTCAGCCATCCTGCTGCACCTCCTCCCACTGCGGGTTTTCAAGCAGGTGCAGAGAACCAGATGAACATGGCCCACTCAGCCTCTCTGAACCTCAGTGTCCTCATCTCTGAAATGGGCGCGGTGCTGTTTCACCGACTAGGTGTGGGGACGGACTGGTGAAGCCTGCCCCGTGAAATACGTCCCGAGCCGGAGGCCCGGCACACAGCAAAGGCTCAAGAACAGCAACATCCTCCCTCTGGAAGGCCCCCGAGAACGAGAGAGTCCTCCCTCAGTGTGGAGAGGACGCTGGCCACGGGCACCACTGGGAGGCAGGGGAGAATCACTTGGGGCCACTAGAAGGGTCACAGAGCCTCCAAGAATTGATTTCCCAGCATTCTTCAGGCCACTCCAAGAGCCCTTAACTGACCCTAGGTTGCCCCTTCCTATACCTCTGCACCCTCTAGGCTACAGGGCCCCACATATAATGGGGTGGGCCAGCTGGCCCCAAAGAACTCTGACCGCCCACCCCACCTAGTGACTGCAGGGGCTGCTGGGTGACCACGGTGAGGAAAGGCTGCTGCTCACGTCACCCTCGGCAAGGCTCTGGTCATGGGTCTTCTCCCATGGGCATGTGTGGGGCACCCAGCCCCAAATGGCTAACTCACCGGGCCCACGCACACCAGCCTGCCACAAATGCTGCATCGAGAGCCAAGGACCAGGAACCTGCCCCTGTCTGCGGTGAAGGGGTCCTTCAGGATGTAGCATTCCTCCAGGAGGCTGCCAGACAGGACAGCAGCTGTCAGAATGGCCCAGACACGTGCTCGTCAGGGCCAGGGACTGGTCTACCCAGGCCGCAGGAGTAAGGTAAGAAGCAGCAACCCAGGAATTGGGGCCACGGTGGAAGGAACCACAAAGAACCGCCTCCTCAGCCTAAAGGGCTAGCGTGCTATGAGCCCAGACCCACTGGGGGGGGAGGGGAGGGCTGGGGAAGATAGGGCTCCTTCTGCCTTCCCAAACCCTCCCCTGCAACCCTAGCAGACAGCAGTTCCTCTCAAGCTGCCTGCTTCCTCCCAGGGCAACCCAGGGTCCCCCCACACCCCAGAGCCCCAGAGGCAGGCCTGGCTCACACTGCACATCTGATGAGACTGACAGGGCCCCATGCTAACACCCCAGCTTCCTGGTCAGCAGAGGAACCAGAAGAAAGGACCCTTGTCCTCCTCACTGTGTCACCTTGTAACACACGGGTCAGCTTTCCCCCATGAGGGCCACAAACGAGCCCGGGACCCCTTGGCCCCTTCAGGCCTGCAGGGCCAGACTCTCAGGAGCCAGGGTCCACAGGACACACTCCCACCAGCGCAGCACGGAAGTCAGGCTTCCCGCTAAGAAAGCGCCTCCACAGGGAGCAGGAGGGGCAGAAACAAGGGCACAGCCTGAGATGAGGCGGCCCCCGAGGCTCCCTTCATCCTCAGCTCTGCCGGACTTTGGCGGCCTGGGCCGTGGGCTGAGGGGGAGGCCGGGGCCTGGAGATTCTAAGGAGCCTTTCCCAGGGCCATGCGGGCCACCGCTGCAGTATCCATGGCCCGGGTGGGGACAGGCCTACAACACAGCACGTGACAGCCACAGGCTTGGCCACCAGCCCAGCCAGCAGCTTGGGGCAGGCACTTCCGGGGCTGCTGGCGCTTCCCAGGCCACAGGCCCAGAAAATATGTACTTACACGACAGACCGGGTGTTGGGGGGCTTCTGCCCCACGTAGCTGTAAGGAGCTGACACAGCACAGAGCTGGCACTGGAACACACCCTGAGGCATGCCCTCTGTCTCAGATGCCATCTGCAAAACAGGGACAAACAGGGCCTGCAGATCTCCTCTTTACCTTTAGGTTTCAGCAGTTTGAATACATATTTAGGTTTTGGGTTTCTTCTTTTCAAAAACTTATCCTGCTATGCTGCTTTGAGCAAAGTCCGTGCTCTATGGTGTTACCTGTTACTTTCACGCACTTAAGGCTTTTATCACTTCAAATGCTTCTGCCTCATTCACTCTCTCTGCTGCGACTCCAACACGCAAAGACAGAGCCGTGACCCGGCAGGACTGCTTTGTCCTTCTGTGCCTCCCAAGTGTTTAACCTTTGACAGGGTGTAGTCTTACCACTTTCTGTTGTTCTCTTACTGGAAAATATTTTTATTTTCCCTTTCACAGGTTTCTTTCACAGGTGCTGGCTTTTGCAGTTTTACTGTATGTTAGACCATCTGGATTGTCCTTGAACATTCTGATCTTTTTCCCCACTCTTTCTCTCCTTGTTTACCCAAATAGAATTACCTAACTTCTACTGAATTAGCTTCATGTGTGTCTCTTTTCCTCATTGTGTCACATCAGCTGATGGGCCCCTTGAAGGTATTCTTCATGTTAAGTTTACTTCTAGCATTTCCATATAACTCCTTTTCTTTGGCTGCTGATATTCCTTGTTTATGCATGTTGTACACCTTTTCCACTAGAGCCTGTAATGTATTACTTTTATTTTAAACTGTCTGATCATTCTGAGTCACAGCTAATCTGGTTCTATTGATTGTTTTGACTCTTGACAGTGGAGTTTGTTTTTATTTTTTGTCTCTATTTTGATTCTAACCTGGACATCATTTGTAAGACAGTGCAGACCAAGGTAAGTAGTATTTATGCCTGAAAAGGGGCATTCTTTTTTTTTCCTGCTAGGAAATACCGAGTCAGCCGAGTCAGGAGAGGAGGTGAATTTGGTTAGTTGTTGCCACTGCTTCCCTCAGGGCATTACTGGCTTCAAATTTCTCCAGCATCACCTCGTGCTTGGGGTTAGAATTCAGTCTGATGCAGGATTTCTCTCCATGTGTACTCCACCCTCAGCTTTAGGCCTCCCTTAGCCTCAGACAAGTCTCTTGACCATCCCAGTGGTAGACTTCAGTTGCTTGTTACTCAGTCCCTGCTTGCCTGGTGGTGGGTTCTCTGTTATCCTGACCCACCTTCAGTCTGAGACTGGCCCTGAGTCCCTGGGTGTTGGGGTAAAGTTTTTTCAGGAATCCTGCACCTTCCCCAGCAATAGGTGAACTCTAGCCGTCTGTTCCCGGGATAGTTTTTGTCCCCTCCCCAAGGTGGAGTGTTTCTCCTTTTCTCTCTCCCTAGCTGCAGGAGGTCTTCGCCTATGCCCACGGGGTGATAGGGTTTGCTGTCCATCCCCCAGCAGATTAAGGTTTCTGATCCATAAGGCAGAAGGATCCAGGCAAGCGCGAAAGATCCAGGAAGGAAGCAACCACAGCAACCTTCTCCCCCTCCCGGCCTGCACCAATGGGGTTTCTCGTTTTCTGCCCTGCTCCCCATTTTTCCCAGAGCACCCTGTGATGGTTTGTGAAGAGCCTGCCAAAGCATGCCAACTATGGCTGAGTTTCTACGCTCTCGCACCAGCCCACACTCACTATACAGCATTTCCCTAAAGCAATTTGGGCAGAATTCCTACCTGCTCCTACGGAGCCTTCCCCGTGCTGTCTTGGAGGTGCCTACTTTCCTTAGACTTCTAGCTAACTGGTTACCCTGCTGAGGGGCGCTGGTGGCGCAGTGGTAAAGCACTTGGCTGCAAACCAACTTAAACTCAACAGCTGCTCCGTGGAAAAACCAGTGAAGTTCACAGCTAAGAAACCCTACAGGGCAGTTCTACTCTGCCCTACAGGTCGCTGTGAGCAGGAATCCACTCAAAGGCAAAGGAGTTTGGTGTTTTGGGGCCGTGCTGTAACCTCAGCCATCTAATGAATGGGTTCAAGAAGTTAGGGAGTTGCAGACTGTCCACTTTTTCTTTGCCTACTCTCCGCGGTGATCTCTCAGCTCTTCCCAACCTGTGATGCCCGGCACTCGGTGTGCAGTCGGACGAACCCTCATCAGACCTTGCAAGCACGGACTGCACAATGTCAGGCTATCCCACTTGGGGCAACGGGGAAAAATCTGTCTTATCGTGGATGCTTGGGAACCTAATTCCGTTCCCCATCTGTCCAATGGTGCTCCCTGGGTCCTTCCCAGGGCTGCTGTGCGTTTCCGGAGGTCAACACGTGTCGGGCGCTGGGGGCCCGTGGCCTTCTCACCGGGAACACGTTCCCCTCGCACCCGAGCACACAGGGTCAGGAGTGCTCCGGGGCCCGCCATGCGCGACGCGGCGGCTTCCCCGCGGCCCCAGTCCCCCCCACACTCGAGCCAGCAGCCGCTCTGAGTAACAGGCCTCAGCCTCTGACGTTCAGGGCCGCACCGCGCTCACTAAGGTGTTGAGGCCTGGACCAGTGACCTAGCGGGACTCGCTCGGAGACGCCGCCGAAAACAACAACAACAACAACAACAACAACAACGCCGCCGTCGCCGCGCGGCCGCCACACACACTCACCTCCGCACACAGCTCCGCCCCCGTCGGGTGAGCCCCGAGCGCACGCGCAGCGCAGCGGGGGGCGGAGCTTCGCTGCCTGCTCCGCCTCCCTGAGAGACCGTGCCCCGAGCGCACGCGCGGAACAGGGCAGGGCGGGACTTCGTCGCTGAATCCGCCCCTTAAGGAACAAGTCTCGGACGCACGCGCGGCAGGGCGCGGGGCGGGGTTTCGTGGCCGATTGCGTTTCTTGAGAAACAGGCCTCGGGCGCACGCTGGAGCTGCGTGAGGCGTGGCTTCGTCGCCGGCCCCGCCCCTTTTCTTCGTCTTCCCCCGCCCCCCACTTGGCGGGAATCAGTGCGGTGTTGGCCTGGAAAGCGCAGCACGGATATCTGGGAACATGCGCAAATGCCAGGCGGGGCTGAAGGAAGGTGGCAGCCTAGCTGCTGCAGCGCGAACAGGCAGACTTGGCCCGCTGTTGTGGCGGCCAGGAGGCTCACTTCCCTTCACACGGGGTTCCTCGGAGGGGCGAAGCGAGGGACACGGGCCTGACCTAGCTCAGTCCTGCGCTCCTGAGTGAAAGCGGCCTGCGGGCTGAAGCGTTTGGTCTTGGTTAGCTCGCTTGCTGCCGCTCTCCTCCCGGTGACACCGTGAGCCCCACCAGACTTGACTAGCCAACTGCTGGCTTTGGAGAGGATGGCTTCTGTGAGGACAGATGACCAAGTTGCCACATGTTTATTCTGTTCCCCCGTATGAAGTCCAGTGGTAACGAGGCCGTGCCTAAGGAAAATGCACTGCATTCAGAATGTGGGGGCCTGGATGAGCTGGGTGGCCTTGGGCGAGCCACTGAGCCAACTGGTTTTCACTCTTGGCAGGCGGCCTCTCCCTGCCCGAGCTTCTCGGACATCCCCTCCGGAGGAAAGGATGGACTGCGCGTGCAGATGGTGGCAGAGCACGGAGTCCCAATGCCAACACCATGCAATGCAGGATTCTGAGGGGACAGCATGGAACAGCCAACACTTGGTGAGAAGCAGCTGCCCACCTGGTTGGCGACTCCCTTCTCTGGCCTTTGACTTTGGGTGGCTGGCACGCACACGAATGAATCACTGCAAGTCTCACAGATGAAACCTCATGTTTAATGGTGTTCAAGCTTGACATTATATGGGCATAAATGATCACACACTTCTGAGTGACAAGGCAACACTGCTACTCATGCTGCTCTTAAATGATAAAGGTTTTCATTATCATCCCTAAATAATCAATGTCATAAATAACCAAGTGCTCAAACCCTGAATGTATGTATAGGTATAGTCAATGTACGTAGCATTTACCGTATTTCAACGTGAACCCATACACACTCTTTGTTGTTTGGCAAAAGCTGTTTCTCTAGGTTAGAAAATGTTACTAAGTTTTACATCTTTAACTTGTAGTAGTAGCCTTAAGGAGTGGGTGTGAAGCTCAGACTTCAGATCCCCAGCTCCTATCCCCCCATACCCAAACAAGAAGGGAAATACTAGAAACTGCCCATAAGACCCCTAGTGCACTAGGCCAGCTAGGATTTGGGGAGGGGGGGGAAAGCTTAGCAGCCCCGGTCTGCAAAGGGACACCAAACAAGGCTGAAGAGTCTGGTGTTCTGTTGTAAAGTAGCAGGGATGCAGATTCCAATTTGGGTTGAACACAGAAGGAGCAGGAGGGTGCCGTGCCCAGGCAAGGCCTCTTCGGCTCCCACCCCTAAATCTGGTCCTCAAAACTAGCGGCTCTAATCCCTCTAAATTGCTGCAGGCTCCAAAGAAGTAAGGATTGTCTCTGTACCAGGAATTACACAACTCCCTGATAAAGGGAATTCTATCCCCAAACCACACACTGTGGTCCTCCTCTCCCCAGACAGTACACTCCTTTCACAATCCTAAAAACAAGAGGCCAAAAGTGGGGATACTGTGAAGGACAGGAGCTGCATCGTGAAGGATATGGATAGAAAGCACGACTTGGCCACTAAACGTGCCTTAATTCCACAGACAGCACTGGGGGCAAATCTTTCTTGTGGCTCCAGAAATTCATTGATCAAACAACGAGATAAACCATCTTCTTCCCATTAATATTTCTGGTCTTCAGACCCAGATACCGGCGGTTGTTCTTCTCTGGCTGTCCATAGAGCATGTTGATGACAAACTCAGGTTCATCTTTGGACCTGGACTGGAAGGTCAGGAGGCGAAACACTGTTCTTAGCTGACGACACAAATAGGTCATTGCTTCTGCTTCATCTGATGGCTCCTCATACACGGGCTGCTTCATCTCCTCATAGGCAGACAGAATCACTGCCTGAAACAGGTTGATCAAGATGCAGATCATGATCAGCATAAAAGACGAGAGAAACAGGACCCCAAGGACCCTGTTACTGGAAAATTCAGTGTTCTGAAAAGCTGAGACACAATAGGAGAATACTGTCTGGGTGGCATGAATCAAGTTACTGTAGTTCCACTCATGCTGCCCAAATACTAGGTAGCCAAAAGCCATGTATACAAAGAAATAAATGGACACCACAAAGGCCATGTGGCAAATGCCGGGAAGAGCAATTTGGATAGCCCTCTGAGCCAGTCGCACATCATAGAAGACTCTGGAATACCTGAGGGTTTTCAAAATTGTCAAAAATAACAGGAAACCCAAAGTTATCCTCATGAGGTGATCTACTTGAGAAACAGCATGAGATGGAATGAACTTCTTAGGGTGTGACAAGTAAAAGTGAATGATATCCGTGGTCAAGAGGTGTTTCCTGAAAATGAGCACAATCAGAACAGTAAATATGCATTTTAGAGCAAAGTTGAGTAAATTATACACACTTCTCACGTAGGAGGCTCTTTCTTGCGTAATGATATAGCCCTCGTCGACAATATAGGCTACAAAAAAGATGAGAATGGCCAGGTACAGGTAGATTTCTGCTGAAGTGTTCCTGTTGAAGTCAGCAAGTGAGAAGGAATACACAGATGCACTTGAGTTTACAACTCCCAACTGAGAGACCTCAAATATGACAGAAATGCTACAGAGCAGATTCATATCTGCATTAAAAGTAGTAAGTTCCAAAATCACAGCCCATGTCTTCTCATCAAGCCAGTTATTTCCTTGGAGTTCCCTGAGCCTCAGTGTGGAATTAAACTGCTGCTGATCTGGGAAAAAATAGAATGCATAGCCCCCTGATCCATAGGTATGGAGCACCCCATAGGAATAATATGCCCATTTCTTTTCATGTGGCTTATAAGTAAACCCATTGGGATTCTGGCCAATAGCTTGTTCATCAACAGCATTCCAAGAGCTGGCATAGTTTTTTGTGTCTTCTGGGTCAATTCCATACTTGGGATGACAATGAATTTCCCTCTGGATGCTATTTAGGACAATGATTTTATCAGGCAGACATTTCTTTTCACTAGGCTTTGCTCTCACTTGCCGCATCAGTGGAAGGCCAAGGATTTTGGAGGAGCTATCGAAAAGAAATGTTGGGTTCAGGTCATTGTGGAACAAAGGCAACACCACGTTGTTCAGCCACCTATAGATGTGTTCCAGCTTAGTGACTGTGGCAAGGTCTACAGAGAAATAATCGCAAATAAATTTGTTATAGTAAAAGCAGTCAGTATGCTGCAGGAGTGTGACGAGGCCAAGCAAGAGGGCAAGGAAGATAAAGTGCGTTAGAATGTAACTGAGGAAGAGGAGTGCTCTTCTCTTTATCCTCTTCTTCCTTTTGAATATTCTAATTTCATCCTCTGTGAGAGGCTGATACATCCTGGTGCCCCGGATGTGGTGGATCCGGAGATGCTGCCTGTGCTTTTCAGCCGGATCCTTCCCCAGTCCATGAAGCCTGATCTCTATGTAATGACATTTAATTGTCCATGGAAGATTTTTACAGTACTTGGGCTTATTTGTTCTGAAACCTGACAAAAGTATAATTTTAAATGTCTGCACCAGAAAAACTGACTGAAAGAATGAACAAAAAGATGTGAAGAGCCATCGTCTTGACAGGTCATAGCCATAAGTCAGTCCGTAAAACACAATAAAGAATGATGATATGCTACAAATGGCAAAAACCAAGAACCATGCTACATAAACACACCACTGAGGCAGAAGAATCCTAGCCTTAGGCTTAGATTTTTGTTGGGGAGGAGGCTCTTCAGGAAGAACATCTTGATCGTATCTTACGTTGTTGTTGTTGTTGTTGGAATTTGTTCTACTGCTACGGGTCTGTGGGGCCTTGGCCTCTGCTTCCTCAAGCTTGTGCTGGGTTTTAAAGGTGGTCTGTCTAGAAGCCTTAGGATGTTCAGGATTGCTCGTAGATGTGAGCTTGTCAGCCTCCCTGGTATGTGGCTTAGTGGTTTCATAAGCATACCACTTTCTCAACCGTTCGTCCCAGAATCCACTCTCTTCTGACATCACAGGATGATGCTTGCGAGGAGCTACCTCCTCTAGATGCATTTGAATAGGTTTCTTCTGGGAATAGGTGAACAAGAAACTTAACAATAATTGCACAGGGACTGTAATTAAGGCACTTTCAATTCCTATCATCATTAATCTGATGTAGTATAACCTTTTTGAATCAGTGTCTCCTTTTCTGTTGGCATTAAAGAACATAATATTACAAAGAAGACTACTTAACAACACTGTTAAACAACAAGACAATTTCTGTAGCCTGCTGACTGGCTTAGCAATGACACTAGCGAAAACAGAGAACCACATGTGACTTTTCCCTAGCTCATATGTTGTACTTATAAGGAAAAAGTCTGTTCTGTTGAGAGGTGCATCTGAGGGGGTAACACAAAATTTCCTGTCCAAAGAGGTGTCAACAGAAAGCCATTTCCGGCACATAAACAGCCAGATGCGTCTGGTGAACAGATTTTCCACTTTGATCCGACTCAAGTACCAACTGGGTGTTTTGCCTTCATTGTTGTGCCACACACGAATGGAGTGGATGTCCCCCAAGTTGCTTTTCGTTGTTAGGAGGAAAGTATTGATGCTTCCTCGGTAAAGAGATGTATAATATGGATGGCTTAAACAATGCACATCACTGGTACTCTCCGTCCCCATAAGCTGGACAAACACATCAGCCTTGGTTCCAGACCCCCAACGGCTTCCTGTAAAAATAGTGACCAGGTAGCACATGGTATCATAAGGGTCATTGTCAGGTAGAACTATCACCCGATGCCTGAGAAACTGGTCCATTGCATCCCTGTGCAAGGCCCAGAAAGCAAGGACTATGTAGATAAGCATGATGAAAAGCACAGTGAAGAGGGTCACAGGGTTTTGGATGATGTTCTTGATGACCTCCAGCTGTAGATCTACGGGATTTGGGACCACAATCACCTTGGCCGTCAGAAAGTGGGTATGTAGCTGAATGCTGGTCAGGTTTACAATGGGGCTCAGCTGCCGCCTGGCCCTCATTTTGTTCCTGCAGACACAGTGCACTTTGAGCCAGCTAGTCTTCTCACCAAGAATGCAATTATCTTCTCTCCAATCGCTCTGGATCCCATACATGTCCAAGCAGTGAACGCTGAAAAGAGAAATTCTCACTAGCTTGTCATTGGGAGTCAAGACAAAACGAGGGGCCTGCAGAACCACAGATACAGTGTACTTGGATGAGCGTCTGTGTTGAGCTATTGCCTGCAGCAGGGACTGGGGAAGGCAAACTACACGGGCCTCCTTCACTGAACAGGCTGGGTCAAAGAGGTCACTCTGGTTGGCAGTAGGAGGCATGTCATGGGGCACGAGGAAGGTGGCCACCAGAGCAGAAGGGGTGATCTGACTGCCTGCAAACACCAACACCTTGAACAGCACAGTCACGCCAGTCACAATATGGACCAACAACTCCTTGATTACTCCGCTGTCCACTTCGAAGCGAAATGCCCCTGTCGTCTTTTTCAAGGGCTTGGCCACCTCACCAGGTTCACTGTTGGGTCCCATTGTGAGATTAAAAGCAGTAGAGGTCAAATTTTTTCTGATTAGGTACACTTCCACTACATCAGGCGTGATCTCAATCACGTCACCGTTAGCCTTGGCTCCTGTCATTCTAACTCCAACCACCTCTGCTGAAATGTTTCCCCCATAATTTAACCAAGGAAAGGGGTCATCTGCAAACTCACAAAACATTGTGGAAACTGGGGCATTTGGAGGCAAATCAGGAACACTGCTCTCATTTAGTGTTGGATAAAAACAATTTCGGCAGTGCTGCTGATTGGTGAAGGAGCTGGTAACATCCCACTTCTCAACTTTCTTTACATACATGTTCAAGTTTGAGGTTGTCAGTACAGTGCTTTTACTCCCCGGCACTTTACTAGCCAGTATCGTGTCTGCTAGAGATTCTATTACATAGAAAGGATCTTGAACAACTTCCTGAGCAGCCATCTGTTTAAGGATGTTAGACAAAACAGTAAAGATCCCAGTACTCACTATTTCTATTTGTTCGGAACGGATGCGTGTCTCCCTTCGTCGATAAGCTTGTAGTGCTTGATTTGCTTGCCATAACCTCACAATGGCAAGTTTCTGAACATCTTGGGTGAACTCAGACTCTTTCTGGGCTAATTCAACAATAATTGTGACTACCTGGCTAATTTCCTCCAAAGTGGTTATAGGGAGAAGGAAAGACTGATTGAGAAGGTGTGTTCGGATACTGGCTTTGTTATCTAGGAGAGGTAAGTCAGTTCTCATGCTATTCAAAACAGAAGTTACTGTATATATTAAGTAACCTGCAGATAAAAAATTCTGCTCTTGAAGCAAAGTAGATAGCGAGGAATTTGGTCCCACGGTAGCACTGAGTAACTGATGGAGCACCGTCCTCGGCGATTTCTCATCAGTAGGAGGCTGCACGGTAGCGTACAAAGTCACCTGAGAAAAAGCTCCCTGAGAGTCATAAACCTGAACATAGAGCTTCACGGCATAATGATTAGCTGGCACACCAACTGGGAGAAAAGAAGGGGGTGTTCTAGGCTGTGTCCCCAAGTACAGGATGGCCCCCAAGGTGTTCTCTTTTAAAGAATTTATTTCAGCAATACCGTCCAAATCAGAAACTATTACTTTATATGTCAGAGGGACATCTTTATCCTTAAAATTACTACACGCGACAACAAATTTGGTAACAAATGCAATTCCTTTTGCTGGATTAATGCTGCATTCTCCGATCTCAGGGCCGTGGTTAATAACAAAGCCATGCCTAAAGGTTCTGATCACGCCACCCCAAGTTGACAGATACAGAGAAACCCAGTACCTCTTTTCCAAAAACTGCTTAAAAGCAAAAGCCTTTATAGACAGGTAAACACCGTTTCTCCCTGTTGTAGCTTGCCCCATCCAATCAAATGGCATCTCGTGAGCTATAGGTGACAAAACTGACCATTTATAGAAGATACGGCTTATGGCACAGTTTGTGCAATTTAGAAACAAAGAAAATCTATCTGATACCATTAAATTTCGACCACAGTTTTCAATACATGACATACTTGTTACAGGTACTGGTCCTTGGAGCACATACACCCTTCTATCAGCAAAGGTTGTTCTGTCACTTTTCTGTACCACCATTCTGAAAAAATACACCTGGTTACCTTTCAGTGTTTCTGGTAAAAGTGTTAGCACAGGGCCAGAGGCCCATGGCCAGTGCAGGTCAGTTTGCCCTGGCTGGCAAATGTGAGGGCTCAGCACTGCAATTTCATCTCCATTGTAGTTTCTCTGATTCGTTGTACAGTACCAAAAAAACGTGAGTCCCTCTAATGGGTTGTCTGCATCTGGGTCGGAGGACATGGAACCGTCCAGAACCAGCCCATCTGTGAAATTAATTGTCAGGCTGGGACCCCCTAGAATAACGGCCTTCAATTTACTTCTGACAACCTCCACGTAGATGTAGTCCGAGTCTTTTACCAGAGGCATTTCTGGATCGGATGTGGTGATGGCCACGACGAAATTAACCACATACACGCCCCAAATTAAAGAAGCCTTGGGGATATGGAGAAATGATGAATTTATCCTCGTCTCCAGCTGGGGTACATCCAAAGGTTTAGTCCACTCGGGCACATCCAAGGCAGACGGCACGGAAAAGACCTGCCAAAACTGAGTAATGGAGAGGGCATCTGGGCAGTCGACGTCCACACTGGCGTTCAGGGTGGCCTCCGTCTTCCAGGTCAACCGCACTGGAGAACGGGCTTTGTTCCTGTTGACCTTTACCTGGTTGATGACACAGGGTTTCAGCTGGCAGGACACCGAAGACTCGATGGCTTTGGGAGTGTACGAGTTGACGGCCTCTAGAATCACGCGCGTGGGGCCATCCGTGGGACACTTGGTTTCGGCCACGAAGCCCACGCCGGCCGGGGAGCCGGCGGAGCTGGCGGAGGACTGGCGGCCCGTCGCGGCGTCGCGGGGTCGTCGCGTCGCGCAGGGCCCGAGCAAGCGCAGGTGAAAGGTCCACGAAGGGTGACGCAGAGGGCGGGGCAGCGTCGCGAACCACGCCAGGGAGAGGCGGCCGCTGAGCGCCGCCAAGCGCAGGCGCACGTCGGTGGGGGCGGTGAGGCCGCCGCGGGCGCGCACAAGGACGCGCACGCCGAGGCAGTACCAGCGTGGCCTGGCAGCGGCGCCCTGGCGTCGAGCCATGTAAAGGCTGCGGCGGCCGCTGAACACAACGCCGCCTGCGGCCGCCGCGCGGGGCCGCAGGCGGAGCAGGGCCTGGCTGCAGCGCATCGCAAGGCCCGGGGCGCCCCGGAGACGCCGCGGCTCGGCGACCTCGGCCCAAGCGGGGACGCCAGGCTGGTCCCCTGACGGGGCGCGGAAGGCCGATAGCGAGGCCGGCGGCCCGGGACCGGGGACCTGGGCCCCGCGAGGAGCAGAGGGCGGCGGGAGGCGACCCAGGCCCAGGAAGAGGAGGAGCGCGGGCCCCGGCAGCATGGCGCCGCCCGTGAGAAGCAGAGAGGCGCCGAGGAGGCCACGGACTCCGCTCAACGGCCGCGGGGGTCGCGGGGCGGCCGCGAGGGTCTCGAGAGCGGCCGGGACAGCGTTGGGTGTAGCGGGAGTTGTGGGGGCAGTAGGGGGTGGTTCCGGCCGCACGGGTCACGGGGTGAGGGGGAGTCGCGGGACATGGGGGCCGCGAGAACACAGGGCAGCATGGGGCAGGGGTGTAGGTGGGAGTGGCAGCAACAGCGAGGCGGCTGGGACAGCAGGGTCATGGGGTCAGCAGGGGTTGGGAGAGCAGGGAGGACAATGAGACGGGGTGGCCGGCAGGCGTCAGGATGGATCCAAGGCTGCTGACCCCTCCTTGTTCCCACGAGTGTAGGCCCCATCAGGGATTGCTAAGCGCAAAGAAGGCAGTTACTTTTTTGATCCGCTGAGAAGGCCCAGTGGCTGGCATCCCAGTCCGTGAGGAGAACCTGTTAACAGTGGTGGGAAAAAAAGAGGGCCTGTGACCAACCTCAGCTCTGGGAGATCTGCCTTTGGTTTTCCTACTTTGCTCTTCTCTTTTCTAGTATCTTAAGGTGAAACCTTAGGTTTTGATTTTAGAAGTTTCTTCTTTTGTAATATAATCAGTTTAAACTAAGTTTCTCACTAAACACTGCTGAACTGTGCCTTACATAAATCCCTTCAGCCTTAGGCACTGGTCCCTTTCTTGTAAGTTAGCCTGCTTGCTAGATCTGTTTGTAACCCCAAATCAATAAGCTGCTGCAGTCATTCATGGATTCATGCGCAGCGGGAAAAATTTGAGTCCCCCTACATCCATGTTGCAATCAAGATGTGTTAATTATCACTGGTGATTGGAATGCAAAAGTTGGAAATGAAGAATCACCAGTAGTTGAAAAATAAGGCTTTGGTGATAGAAATGACGCTGGAGAATGCAAGATAGAATTTTGCAAGATGACTTATTCAATGCAAATACCTTTTCTCAGCAACAGAAACAGTGGCTGTACACGTGGACTTCACCAGAGGGAGTACACAAGAATCACATTGACTAGATCAGTGGTAAGAGGTGATGGAGAAGCTCACTATCTTCAGCCAAAACAAGGCCAGGAGCGGACTATAAAACAGACCCTAAACTGCTCATATGTAAGTTCAAGTTGAAGCTGAAGACAATTAAAAGAAGTCCATGAGAGCCAAAATATGACCTTGCTTATATCCTTCCTGAATTTAGAGACTATCTAAAAAATAGATTTGAGGCATTGAACACCAGTGACTGAAAACCAGAGGAATTAAAGGACAACATCAAGAACATCATCCATGAAGAAAGTAATAGGTCATTAAAAAGACAGGAAAGGAAAAGAAGACCAAAATGGATGTCCTAAGAGACTCTCAAACTTGACCTTGAACAGAGAGTAGCTAAAGCAAATGGAAGAATTGACAGGATAAAAGAGCTGAACAGAAGATTTCCAAAAGCAGCTCAAGAAGATAAAGTCAATTACTATAATGAAATGTGCAAAGACCTGGAGTTTAAAAACCAAAAGGGAAGAACATGCTTGGCATTTCTCAAGCTGAAAGAACTGATGAAAAAATTTAAGCCTCGAATTGCAATGTTGGAAGATTCAATGGGAAATATGTTGAATGATGTAGGAAGCATCAAAAGAAGATGGATGGAATACACAGAATCACTATACCAAAAAGACTTGGTAGATGTTCCTCCATTTCAGGAGGTGGCATATGCTCAAGAACCAATAGTATTGAAGAAGGAAGTCAAAGCTGCTCTGAAGGAATTGGTGAATGCTCAACCTTCTTTCCGAGGAGGGGCTGGTGGATTTGAGCCGCCAGCCTTCTGGTTATCAGTCAAGTGCCTACCAGAGCTCCAGTGAAAAACAAGGCTCCAGGAATTGATGGAATACCCATTGAGATGTTTCAACAAATGAATGCCTCACTGGAGGCACTCACCTGGCTGTGCCACGAGATTTGGAAGACCGCTACCTGGCCAGCTGATTAGAAGAGATCTATATTTGTACCCATTGCAAAGAAATGTGATCCTGCAGAACATGGAATGCATTGAACACCAATCAAACAATATCATTGATATCATACACAAGTAAAATCTTGCTGAAGATAATTCAAAAACAGTTGCAGCAGTTTATTGACAGAGAACTCCAGAAATGCAAGTTGGATTCAGAAGGAGATATGTATCGAGGGATATCAAAGCAGATGTTAGATGGATCTTGGCTGAAAGCAGAGAACACCAGAGAGATGTTTACTTGTGTTTTATTGATTATGCAAAGGCATTTGATTGTGTGGCTGTAACAAATTGTGGATAACATTCAGAAGAATGGGAATTCCAGAACACTTAATTTTACTCTTGGGGAACTTGTACATAGACCAGGAGGCTGTTGTTCGAACAGAACGAGGGGATAGCGCGTGGTTAAAAATGAGAAAGGGAGTGTGTCAGGGTTGTATTCTTTCACCATACTTACTCAATCTGTATGCTGAACAAATAATCCTAGAAGCTGAACTGTATGAAGAAGAATGTGGTATCAGGATTGGAGGAAGGCTCGTTAACAACCTGAGATACACAGACAACACAACTTTGCTGAAAGTAAGGATGACTTGGAGCTCTTATGGATGAAGATTAAAAATTACAATCTCCAGTATGGATTATACCTCAATATAAAGAAAACAGAAATCCTCACAGCAGGATCAATAAACAGCATCACAATAGATGGAGAAAAGATTAAAGATGTCAAAGACTTCATATTACTTGGTTCTATAATCAACACCAATGGAAGCAGCAGTTAAGACATCAAAAGATGTATTGCGTTGGGCAAATCTGTTGCAAAAGACCTCTTTCAAGCGCTGAAGAGCAAACATATCTCCTTGAAGACAAGATGCTCATAACCCAAGCCATGGTGTTTTCAGTCACCTCATATGCATGTGAGAGCTGGACAATGAATAGGAAGACTGAAGAAGTGTTGATGTCTTTGAGTTGTGTTGGTGAAGAATGCTGAAGGTACTGTAGACTGCTAAAAGAACTAACAGATCTGTCCTGGATGAAGTGTAGCCGGAATACTCCTTGGAAATGAGGATGGCCAGACTTCATCTCACCTACTTTGGTCCTGTCAGAAGGGACCATTCTCTGGAGAAGGACGTCATCCTTAGTAAAGTGGAGGGTCAACAAAGGAGGGGAAGGCCCTCAACAAGATGGATTGACACAGTGGCTGCAACGATGGGCTCAAGTTTTAGCAAGGATAATGGGGCTGTCACAGGACTGGGCAGTGTTTTGTTCTGTTGTACATAGGGTCACTACAAGTCGGAGATGACTCGATGGCACCTAACAACAGCAACAACATACAGCATAACTATGGAGCACAAACATGAATACTTATTAAACACCTTGCAGACTTGTTTATAAGGTCTGAAGGCTTAGGACTGTAGTCTCGTGGAACAGCTTGGTCAATTGGCATAATATAGTATGTGAAGTTTATGTTCTACATGCCAGTTGGTGAGTACCATATAGGGTCTTAAAAGTTTGTGAACAGTCATGTAAAATACAACTATTAGTCTCTACACATCCAGAGTAAAAGAATGAAGGAAAGTGGAGGCTCAGAGACAAAGCTTCCACAGGACTCATAGTCTACACAAACCACTATCTCTCATCTACCCTGAGACCAGAACTAGATATAAGAAGCAGCTTTCGGAATGGTCTCTAGCTTGTGGCACACTTGAACCCTGCATATAACTGAATCATTCAGCAGCCTGCCATGCTCTGCCAGTCTTGGGACTTTGAATGTACTTGAATCAGTGGACTGCTGTGTTTGGTAACATTGGGACTGTGCCTTTTTACTTGTCAACCTTGGGTTTGTTGGCCTCAGCAGCCAGCAGTTGTCTGAGTAAAGAAAGGCTTCCATCTTTAATGGGCCAGGAGCAGGAGGCAGAGCTGAAGCCCAAGGTTGAGGGGCTTTCACCCAGCCTCTAAAGCCTGGCGCTTTAAACTTGGACTTAAAACCTCCAAACTGTAAGAGAGTAAACTGTTTGCTAAAACCATCCAATTTGTGATATTTTCTGTTAGAGAAGCCCAGAGGTAACCAATACACCCGGCTACCACTATTGACCATTCTGATCAGGTCACCTCTAACTCATAGCGACCCTGTGCACAACAGACACTGTCCGGTTCTGTGCCAGACTCACTATCCTTGCTATACCTGAGCCCCTCGTGGCAGCCACTGTGTCAATCCATCTCATTGAGGGCCTTCCCCTTTTTCATCAACCCTCTACTTTACCAAACATGATATCCTTCTCCAGGGAGTGGTCCCTCTGACAACATGACCAAAGTAGGTGAGACAAAGTCTGGTCATCCTTGCTTCCAAGGAGATTCCAGCTGCACTTCTTCCAGGACAGATTTGTTAGTTCTTTTAGCATCCATGGTACTCTCAGTATTCTTTGCCAACACCACAACTCAACGGCATCATCTCTTCTTCAGTCTTCCTTATTCATTATCCAGCTCTTACATGCATATGAGGTGATTGAAAATACCATGGCTTGGGTTAG